ACACTTGCCATTCATCACCCTTAGCAGTTATTTTCTACAAATCTTACAGGGTTCATTTTAACTTCTTTGAATCAGATTCTTACCCTACAGTACTGACATAGAATATCCCTCTGCCATATTTTAGGATTGCCCTTCTCACAGCAGCTTTACCCTAAATGCACATTCATGTATGACCAAATTATTTTGTGTTTCCCATCTCAGGTTATTTCTGTTTACAAACCAGAGCTGATCAAACAGTTTGTTATCACTTCACAAGACTAAAACCTGGTACTGCTACACTTGACTCTGTTTTTATAGGATAATCTCTATGTAAATGTCTTTCCTTTGCCACTGCAATCCCTTATGGGCTTTGGTATAAAAACATCCTACTGGTGCTACTTTTATTAATGAAAATTAACCAAGTCATCCTCCCTTCTCCTCATGAGTATTGTGTTCTCTTTTTCTCCAATAGCTTCTTACCATCTGATTTGCCAAGTTGCCTCTTCACTAATTTCACTAATAAATGCAATCTACTGAATTATTTTTACCTGGGAAATCAACTACCTCTTAAGAGGGAATGCCAATATTAAAATATTTAGTGTCCCTTAAACCTCAATAACATTTTAGTCTTAGTTACAATGCCTTTGAAACAAGTCAAGAAGTTTCTGAAAGTCTGCATCCATCCACATTTCAGTATTTATTCCAAGCTATCACCAGATTCAGTAATTAGGTGTATGGAGTATGTTCTAATTCTACAAGGCACTGGTGGCTAACAGCAAGCTGGGTGAGAAAGCAGCATCTCCTCACCCATCATACCCTGAGTTATGTAACCCACCAGCTGCACTGCACGCTCAGAGCATCAGCTCACAACCAAAATGACTCTGCTGACCTGAAAGAACACTTGGAACTTCTGCTGTACCTCCTGCCACATGGAATGTGAGATCTAACATATAACACACAGTAAAGCTGTTAGCATGCATAGGAAATGAAATTAAAACATCCCAGAGACACAAGACAGCAAGTACACTTGACACTATTTCCTTTTGTTCCTCGCCAATGAGCACGTGTGACCCACACTTGACTCTGTAGCCATTTCACAGAACAGGGATGTTTATTGTTCTCCCACTGAGGCTGCACTTTCAGCTATGAATGCTGCACTTGAAATTTTCCAGGAATACAATTTGTCCTTGCACACTTGGCATTATAATTTTGGGAAAAGCAAAGATATCTTTCCGAAAGGCTCACTCTCAATGTGTGCCTGCTGAACTGTGGTTCTCCTCCCCCCCAGCACATGCTTAGTTCAGGAGTATTATGGAAATGAGGGCTTGTTTCCAAAATGGCATCCATCTGTTTTGCTGGTTTTTTTTAGCTCAGACATTTAAAAAAAAACCAAACAAAACCCCAGCAGCCATCGGCATTGGGATGGAGATGGTTTGCCAGCTGATGAGGTTAGGAAATGCTGCATGTTTGCACAGCACCTCACAAGTGGGGCTTTAAAGTCTTACTGCAGAAAGATTAGTGATAAGCAAGTAAAACAACAGAAGCTGAGTCCCAAAGAACTCCTAACTGCTTGTGGTATGTTTACAAAAATGTGCAAAAATGGTTATTTTCTGTAAGTAATTTTAGAGGAAACCTCAACACAACTGGTCAGCCCATTTACATACACACTTGTGTATTTATACAGGGACCTGCAGGAGCCTTTTACGAGGGGAAATTCAAACAAGAGCCAACAAGAAACACTTCGTATTCCCATCTGGAATGGCAGAATGGTTTGGGTTGGAAGGGGACCTTAAAGAGGATCTTTGAAGGGGATAATCTCGTTCCATCCCCGTACTGTGGGCAGGGAAACCTTCCACAATCCCAGATTGCTCCAAGCCCTGTCCAGCCTGGCCTTGGACAATTCCAGGGATGGGGCAACCTGTGCCAAGGCCTTCCCATCCTCACACTGAAGAACTTCCTCCTAATATCTAACCTAAACCTACTCTGTTTGCACTTGAACCAGTTCCCCCTTGTCCTGTCACTCCCGACTTTTGTCCCCATCCTTCCTGTCAGTTCCCTTCAGGTACCAGAAGGCCTCAATTAGGTCACCCCAAACCATCCTCCTTTCCAGGCTGAACAAACCCAACTGTCTCAGAATCTCTCGGAAGAATCCCGATTCTTCTCAGGGTGGGGAATCACACCGCCCCTCGGTCTCACTACGAACCAAAGCCCAGCACAGCCAACACCGCAGCTGCCCCCCGGACCCGGACCCGAGCCGGCCGCAGGCCCCGGGGCGGAACACGGCGCTGCGCCACGGCAGAGCCACGGCGCCACGGTGAGGGGCCGAGCGGGAGGGGGCGGCGGGGCCGGCCCGGCCTCACGGCGGTACCTGGAGCGGGTGCGCCTTGCTGAGGTGCATGTTGAGGGCCGGGCTGTTGGGCAGCACCTTCCCGCAGCCGGGCACGGTGCACAGGATGTTGGTCCGCACTTGGGACAGCTCTGTCACCGAGGGCCGCACCAGCTCCCCGGCGGGCGGCACGTCCCTCACGGGCGCGGGGGGCCGCCCCAAGCCCCCGCCACGCCGCCCGGCCGCCGCCGCCATGTTGCTGTCAGCTGCTCGGCCCCCGCTCCGCTTCCGGGGACGGTGGCCAATCGGTGGCGGTTCTGCTGAATATTCATGAGCACGTGGCGCGGCTCCGCCCCCGCCCGCCAGCGCCCCGCGGCGGCGGCTGCGAGCGGTGCGGCCGGGCGCGGGCCCGTGCGCGCTCTCGCGGCACAATGCGCGGGCACGGCGCACCGGGAACACCGGGAACACCGGGAACACCGGGAACACCGGGAACACCGGGAACACCGGGAACACCGGGACAGGCGGGGGAACGGCGAGGGGCGGCCTGGCCACGGCACCCGTTCCGGCGCACACCGCCCGAGCGGCTCCGCTGCACGGCCCAGGGGCTGCGGTTATTGTGCTCACCGGGAAGCGGAGAGGCAGGCACCGATTTCTGTGCCGCGCAGTGACAGGACACGAGGGAATGGACTGGGCTCTGGAGGGAGGGTGAGGCTGGGTATCAGGAAAAGGCTCTTCGTCCAGAGCCGGACATTAGACCAGACCCCCTCAGGGAAGCGGGCACAGCAGCAGCCTGACAGAGCTCCAGGAGCATCTGGAAAACGCTCTTAAGTCACAGGGTGGGATTGTTGGGGTGGCCTGTGCAGGGCCAGGAGCTGGACTTGACAAGCCTTGTGAGTCCCTTTCCGACTCAGAATATTCTAGGATTTCCTGACATTGGAATCACCAACACAACATACAGAGGTTTTCCCCGTATAGCTGGCCAAGTTAAGGGAAAAGATGAACACCAGTTTTTGGGTAAGAGCAATGCCATAGGTGTAGCCCCAGGATGTGTGTTCCTGCAGGCCCTGTGCCCTCAGCTGTAGGCATCCTGCTGCTTGGGGTTAGCACAGAATAGTTGAGGTTGAAAGAGACCTTTAAACATAATCTAGTCTAACCCCAAGCTTCCAAATTGCTGGAAGAGAGCAGCTGGAATTGGGAAGACAAGATTGGTCTCCATATTCCTCCTCCTTACGTCCTCCATGGGGACAACCTGCTCAGCAAGAAGGAACTCCAGAGCTGCAGCTGTTTCCTGACAAATTAATAAATACACACCTCCTTGCCTGGAAATGCTGCATCATTCCTGGAGTATCCCTGCTTACAGGAAGTCAGAGATAAAAACACCTCTGAAAATCAGAGATACTAAAAAGAGGATGTTGAAAAGGGGATGGAGACAGCCTTTCCCAGAAACAAGAGGCAGTAGGCCAGGTACTCAGAGTGTTCTAGAGCACTTGGGAACTTTACCTTTGTGGTAAATCACTGCCCTCTCAGGCATTTAGGTTATTTTGGAGAGCACATTATGAAGAACAAGTTGCATTGAATGAAATATATGCTGGAATCTTAATGGATCTGAATCCTGGAAGTGTGCTGAAATGTGTAAAGAGCCAGCTCTTAATGTCTATCACACCAAACCTGGAATTCTGCCACATTATGTTAAGTACTTTGTCAAATCAACATTTAAATCACACAGGTGGAATTCCTAAAATCCATACCACTACCAGATAGTCCTAAACCTGTTTTCATGTGTGAATTATAGAGATGCTGAAAAACATACCAAAAATCTGTATATGATAAGTAATGTTTTCAAGTCAGGCCAAACAAACTTTTACAAGAAGACTTAATTTACACATTTATTTACAGTCTGAAAACAAAAACATGCCCATACAACCTCTGGAAATATGGCTGCTTCTGCACACTGAGATATTGCAAGTATATTGGAATTCTACATACACCAAGTACACACAAAACAATCCAGATAACAGAATTGAAAGTAAAAACTTGTACATTTTAAATGATTCTTCAGATCAAATAAATCTCTAAAAACAAAGCAGGGAATACCTATACAATAGCCAATGTTTACAAGCTCTGAAGAATTTCATTGCAAAGCTGTGTGCATTAGTAACTGTTGCCATCTTGATTCCATATTCTTTGCTCCCAAGCAACAATCCAGTGGCAACAGGCAGGGATTTCAGAAGTATTGAATATTGAGATATTCTAAAACATGTAACTTCCTCAAAAGAAAATATTGCCTCTTCCATTGTATTCTTCCAAGACAAAATTTTGTAAGACATTAATAGCAACAGGCAGATTTTCAAGTATTTCTTACTGGCTGTTGCACTTGGTGAGAAATACTTTGGAAGCTGAATTTATTAATACCTCTTAAAACTAAATGGAAGCTTTGTACAGACATATGAATTCCAAAAGTCCATTGTCCCCCATGCCCTAAAATAGTCTTAGAATACAGTTTATCTACTTAGATAAAAATATGCCTGACCTGCAGACCTGGAGCCCCACCCATTTGAAAGGGATTGTTCCCATGTTCCAAACTGGGCAGGTGTTCTGTCCAAAACATGAAAAACCACCTGGAATATTGCAACCAATCTACAGCTATAATAGCAAACTAAATAGCTACAGCTATAATTGTGTCTTTATTAACTTCACAAATACTATTAAAATACAGTTAACAGAAGTCATCACATTTAAATTTAAGATGCCTATCATCTCTGCTTTAATTTTGCAATTAGCTATTTTTATTACTTAAGGCTAACTTTATTAAAGACAACTGTGGAAAAATAATTCAAGCAGAGCCATAATTTGGAAAAAACTTTAAGGAATTTAAGAGAGAATAACTTATTTTTAAAATCCTTATGATGATTTAGATTAATACCAGTAATAAATGCGTTGTGTATTTCTCTATGAATCAGTTTTAAATTAAGGGCTTACAAAACTTTCTGGATATAAACCTTTTTTCTCTTTAATTTTAAAATAATTCCTTGCTTTATGTGGTATGCATGTAAGGAGTGGTGAAAGTGGTGCATCAGCCATACCTGGGGAGAGAGAGAGACAGATAATTGCAGCTGTACTCAACTACTACTACCTTTAATAACTGTTAATAAAACTGAAACACAAAATGAAACCACTAAAACCACAGCTTGAGTATCCATGTACAAACCAGTAATTCTAAGAATAAATTGTTATATATTTAGACATAAGTTTTTAAAGTGGCAACATTTTTATTCTACTGTATTTATTTTTCTAAACCAACTATGAAGTTGCTCCCTTATGCAAGATATGAGCAGAATGTAAGATGATAAAAATATTTAAAACTCTGGAATTTCCATTCATTTTACAGAGTTGGAACACTTACCTGCTGGTGCCAAGGATTTCAGTGATTCTAAAAGATGTGGACTAGAAAACTTGACCAAACATCTGAATGGTTCTTTTTTATGCAAAACATCCATTTTAGGATCACTTTTAAAACTTGTCTCAAGCTGTTAACAGAAAATTTAACCAGTGAATATAAGCAATGAATATATTTTATTCATATGTTATTGCATATTACATTTAAACATTTAATAAGACTGTTTCCAATTTGTAATGATAACATGATTCCAGCTGGAAGAATGTTGTAGTAAAATCTGAGAGTGCCACCATGTGGCAGAGTTTTCTGCTGAAAGCAAGAGGCAGCTTGTTCAGCAATACTGTAAAACATTAAGTATTTCTTAGAATTTTCAATTTATCTTTTCATGCAAAAAAACCTGTGCATCATTTAGAAGTCAGTTATAGTGTCATACATAGCATAAGCTTTGTATGTACTTAAAAAACCCCTTATTTCTCATTCTCCAATACAGTACTAGTCTAAGTCTACCTTTATTACAAAAACTGGCTGAAATGCTGAGTTCACAAGGCTAAAAGACTGAAACCAGATCTAAAACTCTGACCAAATTTCAATCTGTTTCTTACAGAGACTTTTAACGCATTTATTTTAAAATGTCCTCCCTAAAGTTTAAAAAACCCTATAGTATTTCTTACATATGAAATTTAATCTAACTACCACTACATTTAAATTAGAAAACCCCAAATCAAATTGGTTGCTTTTCCTACCTTGTATTGTGCAAATTCAAGTTTTGGTTGGGGACCACTACCAAAAACTTCCTGATTCAATCTGTGGATCCTTTCTTTCTCACTTCTGTTTTCTTGAACTATCCTTTTATCTGCTGCAGGGGAAAAGAGCAGGAAAAATAAAACAGAAAGACAACGTTGTCAGCTCCTGCAATCCTGTTTTTCTGATCTGATTATTCCAATGAAAATTTGTAAACAATAGTTTTAATTAATTCATTGCACTATTTTTTTGGATAAGGTACTTGTCTCTATCATTTATTTATATTTTCAGTTCCATACCAAGAGAAATACACAAGCTAATGGGAGATGCTGGGCATTGAGTGGATTTGGTTTCTATGTCCAGTACCACTCATGGGAAATACTGACCTCTCCCAGTGCCAGCTGGTATTAAGGCACCAGGGATGGATAAACATAATGGGAATGGAGCATATGTACATTTCCTTTTATCAATCTCATTTCACAAGCCAATAGAAATGACATTTAAAGTGCCTTTACATTTCAAACATACATACCATTTTCTGGTTCTACATTATCTCCTTGCAGAGGTTTTGGAGTATGAGTTTGGAAGTTCTAAATGGAGAGAGAGACGAAAAAATTATTTTACTTTAGTTCTACTTTTAGAACCTCTAGCTGGAAAGAACTTTAATATATTTCCTTTTATTTCTCATTCTGGAAGAGTGATCTTCCAAATTTTGACCATGACTAGAAGTCTGGAAGCCATCCTAATTTTGAAAAAAAATACCTGTCTTAGGATATTTGTGAACATTTTCCTATTTACAAGTTTTGCATGGATGAGCAGACTGAGCACCCATTCCAACAGCCTTCAACTCATGGTTCTAGGAAGCCTAATGAAAGGATGCAAAAAAAGCTTAGGACTGAATTGTTCATATAATTTTTAGTCTGAGTTTAGCCATCAGGAATTACAATAATAGAGTATATGGGATACCAAATAATTTCATCCCCATTGCAATGTTACCTTCATGAAAGGCTGTCGACCTCAGTAGTTCAATATTATTTTAACTTGATGGTCTCTTGGAAAAGGTGAATTTTCCCCCATGCTAGGGGGTGACAACTAGGCCTGAAACAAAAAGCAAGACTTATCTTAGGATTTACTTGTGAAGTTGCTCACCTGGCTATATCTTTTAAACACAATATCTTTAAGGGAGTTTAAACAATGACTTCGAAGCTCCATTTCACGGATGTCATGGTAATTGGTAGCACCAATCAGGGCCTTCAAATAAAAATTGAAACTGTTTTAACATCAGTCTTAATCATCACTGTGCTTGTAGTATGTAAATAAAATAGCATCTCTAGACATTGTGATGTTTTTGTTCCAAGGTAAGCAACTGCCCTTTAACTAGGATTTTCATATCTGAAAAAATGTTGCAGAGATTGTTATACAGCTCATGTTAATATTTAAAAGTATTTACAGTATTAACAAGCTAAGTCCCATAGTCTTATCAGATGAAAAATAAACAAGTAGAATCATAAAATATTTGAATTGCTACTACAGAAATGTGAGGAAATTTCTAAATAGAGGAAAAAATACCACCAAAGCTGATCATCACAAGTTAACAGAAATGAACAGCATTCCCTGATGAGCTCATATGCTTAGTTCTTGAAGTTAACAGTGTTGATCTAATATTCTTCCACCTCTGTGAGACAATTTAAAGGAATACTGCCCAGGACCTGGCTAAGAAATTCAATTCAGGAGCAGTAAAAATCCCAATAAACTAAATTTATTCACAATGCACCAATCCAAAGGTTTGGGTTTTGCCCCATTTTTATCATGACCTAAGGAGAAAAAAAAATTACAGAGTTTAGCAAATTATGTTAGGTGTCTTTACCAATCCTCTTAAAAGCTACCCCAATTATAGCTCTAAGTGACTGTGGGGAAGTCAGGGTCTGAGAAATTTTGATCTGTACCTGACACAGCAGAGGTAAGTTGCTCTTCAGCACTGAGGCAGAAATGAAGACATAGGGAGTCTGTGAATGGTACACAACATAGCTGGGTTTGTACTGGTTTGGTTTTTTATATGGTGTGCCCCAGGCAACTCTAATCCAGATTGCATTATCCTCATATTCCTTAAAGGTGATGGTGACCTGATAAGAAAAGATGAGTTTTGATTTACCAACACATTTAGGTATCCATAAACATTTACTTATCTCTTAACATCTCTGTTCGCAAGATCCAAGCATAAAAAAAGAAACTAAGAAAAGACTAAGAAACTAAGAAAGAAACTAAGTGGTGTAAGGATTGTATTTAAATAAAATTTACACAGAAAACAATAACCTCACAAACTGGGATAAAAAGAAGAATTACCTTTCAAACTCTAATATTACTTTTCTTCCTGTCAATATACATTTTTTTCTGAAGGTTGAAAATAGAAAATAGCTTATTACAAGAGCACTGACCTCTCTTTTGGGAAAACAACATAAAAATGTCTGTTTAGAAGGATGGCTAGTGGCAAGAATTTCAATATGTCAAATTTTGGAGAAACTAACCTTTTGATCAGCTTGTAATTTCAGACCTGAATATAATATTTATCATTGCTCAAGAATACACAATCAAAGGTCTAAATGTTCCCTTTTCTATTCTTGTAGATTTGCTCCTTGTTTACTTCTGTTTACCTTGACTCAAGTAAAAACTTTAAAAAGAAAACAACAAACCAAACAAAACCCCCAAAATATTGCAAAACTTTATTGTAAGAGAGTGATGTGAACTGCAGCTGGCTGGCTGTGAGTGTGATTTGGATCTGTTGCCCTCTCCTGTTGTGGGTGGGAACCCAGTCGGTGTCATGGAGTGACACGGGATCAGCCACAGGCATTTTCTATTCCCTTGCAAAATGAAGCTGGTGAGCTAAAGCAACTAAGGGCTCCTGCAAACTGGGCAAAGATTTGATAAAAAACCCCAACATGCTGCCTTTCTTGAAGCCAGTCACATTTTAAGACAAACTTACATTTTATTTCCTTCCAGCATAATTGTGAAGTCGCTAAACCAGATATGCAATACATTTTTCCTATTTCACATGCAGTTCCTATCATTCCCAAATGAATAATTCCATTTAATTCTTGACTCAAACTGTGAAGAATAGTTATGAAAACAACATACTGACACCAGAGCCATGAAGCAAATTTAGAATGGATTAATTCTTACATTTTTCAAGGTTGACCGAAGTCTTCTTTTAAACCTTTTTTTGAAATCTGTTATGTCAAAATACTCTGCTTCTTCTCCTGTTACATGAGACAAAAAAAAGTAATCTAGAGATGTTTTAGTTTTGCTGAAACAAAATTAAGCAGAAAAAATTAAAGTTGCATAACCTTATTTAATTCTGACTCATAATATTGCTATATAGAGAAAAGATTAATATTTACTTAGTAATTACTGATATGTAATAATTGGTTGAGAATTTAATGGAACATTAAGGATAATCTCCATTGAAAAATCCATACTAGGTTGCGGTAAAATGTTAAAAATCTCTCTACAAAAAAAATCCAGATGAGACTAAATTAAAATGTGGTTAAAATGTAGTAGATGAGGCAGCACAGCATTAAGTTGCTGAGAATTGTGGGATTACAGCAAGGAAAGACATTTTACCTGATTTTTTCATCTGGTAAACACTCCACATTCTTTTGTTTTGGTAGATGTGGTTGTCTAGGAAAAATAGGAATTGCTTAATAATATAATGTATTACCAAACAGGAATTAAAGGAACAATTAATTTTACAATACTTTTATAGACAAGTTACTTTAAAACATATGACTTCTGATAATGCAATATAACGTATTAACATTCTTGACCTATCACTCATAGCAATCATAAAAGCAAAATAGTTTTTTTATTAAAAGAAATGTGAAATTCTTTTTCTAATTTGGTGAGCAGCTAATAAAGGGTTCAATGTTTACGGAAGGGTTTTACATAAACTGCCCAATATGTAGACTGCTAGAAAAAACCTTGAGATTTAAACTATTGTCTAAATAAGATGTGAATTGATATTGGTTAGGAGTTAGATACTTTTGTTGATCTTGAGCTTTTTGTAACAGAGGCTACATCCAATAAGATTCATCTAAAATATGATGTGCTTGGCTCAAATGCATCTGCAACACACAAGGATCATCACTATGTAATTAAGGGCATTATCAACTTACTCAGAAAAAATAAATGTCATTTTAATTCACTTTTTACTTACATATTATGTCTAGAGCTGCTGCTTGCTTTATGTCTGCACAATTTTCCTAGAAAGAACAAAAGTGCATGGTGAACTACAGGTCCAGAAGGCCCAATCACCCTGTTTATCAAGTGAAAAATAACCTCAGTACTGGTAATTTAAAGGACATTGCACTGAAGGCCACAGCACGTACACTCTCTTGAAAGGCACCATACCTGGTCCCAGGTTTTGAGAAATCAATATTGAAAACTATTTCAGCAAGGTTTAAATGTTCCTCTGCAGAGGCAGCAAGAGGAACATAATCCTTACAAGTGTCATGTACAAGCAATTAGAAACAAAGTTAATGGGTGTTTGTGACAATGAAAACAGTGACTGGTATTTCACTGTCAGGAGTTTTAACATACTGGTTATTGCTTATTTATGCTCTACAGCATGAAAAGATTTTAAAGAAACTGTATGACACAATTTGTTACAGATACAAGTATTTCAGAAAAAATGCTATTTTAAAATATGGCATTTGCCATCTTATGAGAAAAACTTAAGAGATTCTTTCCTGTAGTTTGATCTACACTCCAGGTAAGCAATTTTTGAGTATGAAATTAAAAGAGAATCATAACAAAAGCTATAGAATTCAAGATCAGTAATAACTGCAGCCATCTGGGTTATGATTAGAGACTTCTGGTACATATAAAGAGTCCTGGTACACTAAAATCAGAGCTTGATCATATTTTTTTTCCTTACAGTATGCTGAATGGAAGTAATTCTGGCCCAGGAAAGTTAAAAAAAGAAATTAGAAGTCTAAAAGATATAAACTGGTACTATCATAACCCATATTAAATAGCTTTAAATCAGGACTTTGTAATGAGTATACATCTCAATCAATGCCTTTATTTTACAATTTACAAAAGGTTTAACATACTGAGTTTTATCTACCATATGTAACTTAGAGCTCAACACATGTATTTGCAGACTTAGTATAGGGCTGTTCTACACTCCTACAGATCAGACAAAATCAATGGTGTTACCAGCTCAGCTTTACATTTGCCAGACTACAAAGTGCAATGTGAGGCCGTGTTGTGGCCAAAGATTAATGTTTCAGTGTTTTTTCATGATGCTTCTCATGCATCCTATATGTCACTGACATTTTTTGAAGGAGAGGATTTACCTCACAGAGCTGAACAACTTCTTGGGAAATGTTGTCCTTTATCTGATGGAAATTTAGAGTCTGCAGCTGTGCCTCAGAGAGAAAGCCCCATTTCTGCAGCATCATCTTGATTTCATCCCTTGGGATTTTTAGCACAGTTCTTCGGATGTATTCAGCCACAGTTTCATCCATGATGGAAACACCTGGAAAGCTGAAAGGTTAAAGAAAGTAAGACCAAGCCACAGCCAGTCTCAGGGGACTTGCTCCCTCCAAAGGATGTACACCAAAGGTGTACAGAGCTGCACCTCGGCACAACTGGCTGACATTGATGCCAGCCCTAAGTGCAGCACTACTACAGATTGAGACAGTGGCAAGTTAAAATACATGCAGTCACTTACACAGACACTGAATCATAGAATATTCTTAATTGGAAAGGATCCAAAAGGATCAGAGTCCAACTCCCAGCCCTGTGCAGCACACCCCAGGAATTCCACCAGGTGCCCGAACGTGTTGTCCAAACACTTCTTGAGCTCTGTCAGGCTTGGTGCTGTAACCACTGTGCTGGGGAGTCTCTAAACCTCCTCTGAGACAGCTTCATGTCTTTCCCTGGGATCCTGGATCGTCAGAGATCACTGCCTGCCCCTCCACTTCCCCTCAGGAGAAAGTTGTACACTGCGACGAGTTCCCCCCTCAGTCTCCTGTTCTTCATGCTGAACAGACCAAGTCTCGTCGCGCCCTCAGAAGTCTCCCTTACTGACCGAGGCCTGGTGCGAGCAGAGGGACGGGGCGCTGGGTGCCGCCCAGGGCTCTTGCTGTCTGTCCGGTCCGATGAGTGTCCAGTTCCCTCGGCGCGCAGAACTCCGTGACTGACTGACTGATTGATTGACTGATTGATTGACTGACTGATGACTGATTGATTGACTGACTGATTGACGGACCGACCCCAGCCCACCCCACCGAGCCGGACCTGGCCTGGCCCACCCCGGGCGCCTCACGCCGCTCTCGCGCCCACCTTTCGAACCGACCAATCAGAGCCCGCGCCGTGCCCCGTCCATCCAATCACAGCGCTTCCCGCCTGCAGCCCCGCCCCGCTCCGGCGCCGGCGCCGTGCGCGCGCCTCGCTCTGAGGCGGCTTCCGGCCGGGGCCCGCCGAGTCTCCGCGTCCGCCCCCACCGGGGTGAGTGCGGGGCGGCCTCGGGCAGAGCCAGCGGGAAAATTTAGGGAAAAGAGCGTGTAAAGGGAGCCTTCCCCTCTCCTGCCGTCTTCCGTTCCAACTGCCTGGCTCTGGGGGGGCTGGGAGGGGGGCGGCGCTGCCGAGCTCGCGTCCACCTTCTGGGACCCTCCGCTCACTGCGCAACGTCCTCCAGAGCTCTCGGAGGGCTTTGGAAGGGCAGGTCCGAGTGGGAACACGGGTCTCTCCGTTGTGTAAGCTGCTTTTGCTGTGTCTCTGTGTCCCGTCGCTTCTTTAAGGCCTCCCGGGAGCTGCGGAGCTGCTTCAGTGGGACCCCCCTGCCTTACCCTGGTAACAGCGGCTGCCCAGCCCCTCGCACCCCATGGCAGAACCGTGCTGCAGAGCAATGTTCACTTTCTGCCGAGTGTTACCTGCCTGCCGTCACGGGATCTGTTTGCTACAGGGGCCAGAGCCTGTCTTTTCCGACACGGAAACGTATGCTCTTGCTTCCTTTCCCTCTGAAGGGGAAAAGCTGTTTTACAGTAAGCAAGAAGATTCTGAGAGGTTCATAGAATTCTTCTTTGGGAAATTAATAAAATGGAGATGAGTTGGAATGAAGCCTGGTCTGGTGGATGCAGGTGAAGTACAAGAGCAGCTGGCAAAACAAGAATTTGGCGACAGCATCTTGTCCTTACATAATTGTAGAGTGAGTTGGGTTGGAAGGGACCTCAAAGATGATCCTGTTCCAATCCCCTGCCATAGGCTGGGACACCATCCACTGGACAGTGCTTTAGTTTTATGCTTGTCTGGAATATAATACATTATATTCCTAACTGTATATTCTGCAAAGGCATAACAGGAATAGGAAGAGACAGCTTTAGTAAGCTGTGATACAGTGTTGTCGTTTGCAGTGGTACTGGCTCTATGTTATAATAAAAATATCCCACTAATCCTGCCAAAACTCTGCTGATGTTTCTTGTATGGATATAACTTTAAATAATTGCCAGGAAGTGAAGATATCTTCTAGTGGCTTACTCAATCACCTATTTCAACCTTAAATAAATTGTAGAAATTAGTATTCAAGTTGGTGTTCCACCTGCTCTGTTCCTTAGGATTAACATCTTCTTAATTTCTATTGCTAAGTATGAAATCAGGTATGGTGTAGTTTCATCAGGTACTAAAAGCAGATGAGTTCATTCTGCTGCTGTGAGGGAGGTTGAATTGTTGGCAAAAAAACAGTCATGTAAAAAGAAAATCAATATGAATCTTATTTATCAACATGAAAAAAAATTAATCTTTAGGTTTGGGAAAAGTAAATGCATCCTACATAATTAAAAAGATCTCAGATTTCTTTTTGTTTCCTTTCTAGTCTTCATAGATATGTTTCTAAATTATTTTCTCCCATTCTAGTAAGTAATGTTGAAAACCCAATGCATAGGTTTAGAGACTAAAATTCAAAAGGTCGTGAGTAAATTTTGTAAGATTTAGCTAAGGTTGGTTTATTAAAGTGGATTTTTAAATTTTGTGAAGTTGCTGGAAAGTGTGGGGTCATTGTCAATGTGCCTTAAGGACAGCAGCATAGAGTGACACTTGAATATTCTGGTCTGGAAGATGCTAATGATATTATTGAAAGGTAGAAACAAAGTCCTGAGTTTTGAATTCCCTTGGGTTTTGAAATAGTGTGCATCAACTATGATTTCTCATTTCACTGATCACTGAGTATTCAAAGCTATTGTCAAAATTCTTTGTGTAGGAAAGAACACTAGGAATGCAGGATTTCTGCTGAAGTGCCACGAATGTTACCTTTAGGTAAACACTCACATGTTAGGTATGGAGCTGAATTTTGTATGCTAAAAATTTGTACAGTCTTAGAGAAAGCAGGATTTGAGTGAGCAGAAACTTGTTGAAATTTGTAAATATTTTTTCCAAACAACACTACTGCGTAACTGAGAATGTGAAACTCCAAATGCTTTGTATTAGTCAAGTTAGGCAGTGACATGAGCTGCAAAAAGAAATGTTAAACGTGGGGAGTAGAGAGGCTTCGGAGGAGTCGCGGGTTTGTTCCCCTCCCTGCTGTGAATCCCTGCTGTGCTTTGCACGGTCCTGCTGCCGCCTTGTGGGCGTTGTTTTGAGTGTTTGCAGCAAATGTTTGTGTTCTGTGGCACTGGGTGTTCTTGGTAAAGAGCTTCATCCTTAGCAATGTAGGTGCTCAGGTGTAATTTTTCATCATCAGGTGTGTGAATTCGTGTTTTTTTTTTTTTTTNAAAAAAAATTGTTCTTTTCAAATGGAAGAATAGTAAAACACAGTTTTAAAAATAGTCTTCTAACATGTTTTAATTAAATATGGAGAAAGCATCTTATGGAAACAATTACCTAGATCTGAGCCTTCCCTTCATTGGAAGGAAAGATGGAAAGATTAAGCATGGAAAGTTTAAGCATTGGGCCAACCAGCAAAACTAAAGGAACCTAATTCAGTTTTCCTTCTGCATCAGGCAACTGGTTAGTTTGTATTTATGGCAGTTTCTGAGAAAACAAATGAACTTCCCTGGATTCCTGACGTGCTGACCTCATAGTTGATTTTGGGAAGAAATGAGAAGGTGCTGAACCCTTTGTTTCTCCACACAGGAAGTGTGAGCAAGTCAGGAGGAGAAATTGGCAGGTGGAGAGAAATGAGCATTTTATCCTTAATTTTGGTGTCAAACATGAAATGCCCACAGTGTTCTTCCCTGCTTTTTTGGGTCAGCTTTTGGTTTCTGCCTACTTGCTGGGTGTCTGCAGTTTTATTTGAATTCTGTACTACATGTAGGTTCCTTTTGCAATTAATAGGAAATATTTACTGTATTGACACATGTATAGATCAATTTTCAGATTAGGGATGAGTATCACATCTCAATAATTTATATGTTGATTACTTTTAGAAAATTTGAGATGCTTAGTCTCCCAGGGTTGCTTACACAAGGAATTACCCCATTATTTTTCTAAACAGAAATATTAGTATCAGAAGTTCAGTATCATCAGAGATTTTTTAGCTTTAGGCTTTTGAAACCATATGTTGGAAACCATACTGCTAGAATATCCTATAATTTCCTTTCTTAAGGAGAAACCAGGTAGGATATGATACTGGAATGAGACAATTTCTTAATTATTTTTTCCCAGAAGAATAACATAGATCTAGAAACTGGTTTAGGAAATTGAAAGATTAATTATCTTTATCCATGTCTTCTATATTCAGAGACTACTAGTTTATAGAAATGTTTGTTTTTAATGTATTTTAACCAAATTATTGAGATACCTATGTAATCTACTTTTTATCAAGAAAGAAAAAGTTGCACTGAATCTCATATCAAACACATTAAAGGGCAGAACATTTCTGTGCAAACCAGTGAAATATGTCAGTGCCATTATGTCAAGAGATAATTTCTTTACTTCTCTCCAATACTCACTTCAGATATTAACATTTGCTTAGCATTTTGCAATTCTAAAGCAATTCCTCTATTTTCTAAATATTGTTCGCTTACTTCACTTCCAGTATTTCTTGTACAGAAATTGTGTGTTTACCTTGGCATTCATTACCCCATATTTCTGTCAGTAGTTTCCTCAGAACAATTTATATTGCTTATTCACAGTTTTTTCCTGTGATTTTTTTTGTTTTGTTTTCCCAGTATTCTTTTATGTATCAATTCCCTTTGAGTTACCACCTATGTAAAATTCTGTCCTTTTGGAGTTAGAATCTAGTAAGATAGCAACTTACAATTCTTATTTTTCATTAGAATGTTGTTAAAAAGAAACTAAGGAAACCAGTGTCCTTCACACAAATTGTTGTTTCTCTTGAACATCTTTTGTTTGTCAGTCATTCCTCTCCAGCAAAAAAGATTTCAGCCTTCCCTGCTCATTTATAGACCACTGTCTAATCTGACATTCTAAACATCAGTTTAATATTGAGCACTGGGAACACTGCTCTGTCCTAACTTCAGAAGTGCTTAAAGCCTCCAGGGAGGCTCAGAAAAAATATTTTGTTCCTTAGTCCATCCCATCCTACAGGAACTGAGTGCTAAAACTTGAAACATTCTAATCTTGAATGCTATTTGAAAATTTCAGGAGTACTGATCTATGAACTGGTGTGACTTTGATTTGTAGCATCTATTCTACAAGAAAATCCCACCTAAAAAAGTGCATCATCACCTCTGGTTGTGGCATTGGTGGCTTTCATCCATGGTCTGAGAATACTTTCGCAAGCAATGGCAGTGATTACTGTTCTTAGTTTAGAAATAATGACTCTTTCCTTGAGATGCTCCATTTGACTTGCTGGCCTGTGCTGATGTGCATTCCCTGTTTCATTAGGACACTGCTCTGGCTTTCTCCTGAGACTGCCAGCTCAGATGACAGTTTTAGGAGGCACAGGCAGAGGCTGAATGATGAAGAGGTTTAATAATCATCTGGGTTCACACATGTTAAAGTAACACACAGCCACTGAGCTGGTCACCCTCTCAGGGGAATGCTAACACCAGCGCTATCAAAAAAGCTCTACTGATAAATTTAAAACATATTGACTTTGTGTGGTGTGCAATCAAAAGCTGGTGGCAATAACACAGCGGGGTTCTTAATCACTTTGCTGTTACAGTCATGCTCCTGCTGTCATATTTCTAAAGGTTCATTTGTTAATTTGTTGGAAAGAATGCTTAAGCAACTTGTACAGTTTCCAACAACTTCTGTGCTAAAATTAAGTGTCATGTAATATTAGACTTTCAGATAGTATGGGAGAAGGTTTTTGGAAGAAATCAATACTATGTGGAACATATTCTCATGGTTCTCAAGTGCCTTTTAAATGTTTGGATTTTTAAAATTAAGTTTGCTTGTGGGAATCTAACTCTTGTTAAGATGAACACATAATGGGAAGTACTGGATATATGAGTGTATGTGGCTCTTTAGGCTGAATATATTCCTTGAGCATTCCAGGAATAGCAGTGGAGATTGTAACTGTCAGCCCTGCAGATGAATTTTGGGATTTTTCAATAGTAAAATCTGACCATTGGCTACTTGTTTTTGTCCAGTCTGTATAGTAGGAATGTTAAGACAGTGATGGCTGCTTACTACAAGTTGTGGTGTTTGGCTGGTGTATTGCAACTAGGAAGGTGATCCCTTTGGGAGAAGGGGAAATGACAAAATACTAAGCAAACAAACAGGCATCTCTCTAATTCAGTGGCAGTATTGGCCATAAAAATAAAATTTTACCAAGATGAGCCCATTTGTCTGGTATGAACTGGACTTTTCTCCTCCCCTTCCTGGTTCACTTCCTGAACGAAGATGTCATCTTCCTTCAGCCATTGTCATATGATGCTTTCAGTCCATATCAACTAAAGAACTTGCTCCCTCCCCACAGAACCCTGCAGGAAGGGGTGTCCCCCTTTAGTGTTTCAGGAGACAAAACATGAGGGAAACATAAGTGCTTCCTTCCACTATGTGATGGAGAGGGGGATTCATGTAGGAGCCCAATCCCATTGCTTTTCAAAGAAGCGCAGTGAAAGAGCAAGAGGCAACAATAAGGAGTTGCAAGAAGGGACATTTCAATTCTTAGTGATTAAAAAAAAATATCAGTACTGTTTTGATGAAGTGATTAAGTACTGGTTTTTAAAGCATCGCCAGTGTCTGGATTAGGATTTTTTAAAGTGTGTAGAAAGCTAAAAAAGATGCCAGTTCTCAGAGTGCTGTAATAATAGCATTGTGCTTCCTGTTGTAATCTTTGCAAAAGGTAGAAAGAAAATCATATACACTTAACTTTTTAAAGAAAGAAAGCAGAAAATTGAAGTAAGAAGGTGAAAAGATAATCTGGAGTTAAAGAAAGATTAATGCTGCTAGAAGGTCCCTGAAAATTAAAATCTCAGCTGTGTGTTAATGTCCATGATAGCAAAGATTATAAACTTGTAGTTGATTGTTAACAATTGGGTTGTGTAGAAAATCTGACATGTGCTGTGTTTAATGATTGTAACTGTGTAATATAAATTATATGCATTAAACTGCGTTTTGATCTCAAATATTGTTAAAATAACTCAGTGATAATATCTTACATGTTAAATCAGACTTGCTAGTGATACTATTTTAATGTTGGCAGGTGGAAATTTTCTCAGATTCTTGTCCTTGTGCTACTAAAATCATCCCTAACTAAAGATGCATCCAGACCTGTCTCCTCATCTGCACACTGAAGAGTGTAACCTAATTATCAGTCTGCTCAAGAAGTGTCACAAGGAGGTAAGAAATGTTGAGCAGAGAAAAGAGTGGGTGGGTTGGGGAAATGAGTGTCAGATAAATTAGTGGTGATATTATATGATCATGAAGAGAAAACCCTCCTCTAGGCAGAGCAGCCACGAAATATAGCTGGTGTGTTTTCACTGAAGAGCTGTCTGAAGACTGTATGTAAAATCATACCAGTGATTTATTTAGGAAATACAGCATACCTTAAAATTTTCTGTGCTGCAGCTTAACACTTAGGGACCTATTTTAAGAACCGAAATAACTTCTACATCTCTTAGCACTGTGTACCCCTTAAAAAACAATAATAAAATAAGCTTCAAATGTCCTCTTTTTGTATGCTCACAGCATTTCCATATTCCAGCTGTCCCTGGGGCAGATGCTTCAGTGTGGTTAGAAGCAGATGTGTTGATCAGCCACATGCCTGATGTTCAGTGCTTGGAGAGCTAATTGGGAATACCTACTTGACTTCCATCTTCTTACTAGACACCTACTCAAGGATGTGAAATGCTAAGTTGTCTTCAGGCTTCTCCATGCTCTTCATTGCTTCAAGATTATGGAATTGTCATCACACTTGTTTAAAAGCCTTTTTAAAAATTTGCTTTGTCTACATCTTCTGCATCTCTGAATGTAGAAGATTTGGCCCCTGCATTGAAAACTTTCTGCAGCATCATTGCAATGTTAATTATTTTCCCAGTATATTCTAAACAGATGTTCTGCAGAGATAATCTTGTGGTATTCATGCATAAAAAAGTTAAATTTAATTGTTTTTACTGAATATTAAATATTCACTATGAATGTGAAAAACTCTTCATTTACACCACTACATGCAATCTACAATATTTTCACTTCCATGGTTGTGATGTTGATCCTTTTTTCTAATGCGGATGGATTCTGAGACAATACAAATACTATCTTTACTGTTTTGAACAGAATTGTACATATTTATTTTCAAAAGCCATTGCAGGATGAGAAACAAGGCTGATAATTCACAAAATGTGAGAGAAGACGTTTTATCTGAAAGATGGGTAACAACATTTTTGCAAGATTTTAACATAGCTAAAGTAACATATTAAAAAACATTTTCAGCACCACACTTTGCTTTGATTTTTAAATTACAGCAATTAAGGGAGCAGAGTTTTAATACTAAAATTCATTTGCAGGGAGTATATTGTACTGGTTTTCTTCAGCAACATGTGATTTGTTTTGTTGGCACTTTGAGTTCAGTATCTTGAAACATAAGCACCTTGCAGTCTGTTGATAGCATCTCATAGTTGGTACTTCCCATTCCACTGCTCCTCTACAGAACATCTCCAAGATTTAAAACTAAAAGTTGAATTAAATGTAGGAGTTAACACTTTTCTTCCAAGTTCAGAAATTTTAATTTGCTTAAAAATCCTTTAGGTAGTTTGAGAGATTGTAGAAGCTTTTTTCCTTTCATTTTTAGTTGATTTTTTTGCAACAACTTTAATGTTATAATGTAGATAAATGTTCTGTAGCTAGAATTTAGTGAGAAGACTACACATGCATTAATGACTCTAGTATCAAGAGGATTGCCAAATGACCATCAGTTAGGAGAACAGGCAGCATGTAAGCAATATAAAGTTAAATTGTTGTAATTATTTTTTCATAATTGTGAAAGCAAATCCAATTAGGAAAGAAAATACATTCAGAATTATCCTGAATACATAGAGGGGCTTTCTGTGCTTTGAGTAGGAATGCAGCAGTATTGATTTACTGCTTGCAAGTAATGAATGGTTGACTGGCTTTTTGTTTGTGATTTTTTTTTTGTTTTGTTTTAAATGAATGTGAAGATAGAATTATCATGGACTTGTGTGATGTAGCTTACTAGACTGCCTTGAGAACTGGAACTAAAGACTGCACTTGAACTCTTTGGCATTAAAGGAATCTATTGTCAATCTGACTTATGAAGGCACTGGGAGCAGCAATAATAGTCACAGAAAAAAAAATGCACAGAATTATATTCTCTTGGTTTTGTTTGAAGTTCATCTTTGCATGAAGAGGAATTACTTTTGTCAGTCTTGTGCTCAGCTGGGAGACGATGTTTGTGGTGGCAGTTTCAGAACAGAAGGGGTGAGGATGACTTTCCCACTCAGTTCAAAGGGAGCAATACTTTTTCATTTGAAATTCCATGGTAATATACTGAAATATTCTTTTTAAATTGAACTCACTGGAATCTGAAATTAGTGATATTAATGAGTTATTCGTGACTACTTGCTATTTTCTTAAAATGCCAAGATGTCCTAAGAACCTTAATCTGGAATTTAAATTGCCATTCCTGAGGGATGAAAAGCAGTATTTTTTAATTGGGTGTCCATTTTCATAACTGTCAGTTTGATTTACTTTATCCCTAATCTAGAACCTGCCCTGTATATCAAGTTTTGTATCAAGTGAGGAGAGGTTAATGGGATTCCTATGTGATGTCACTTCTTTTTTTAATAACTCTGCTCTGGTGCCAAGTATGTGCTATAAATAGACAAATTTTTATAGGTAGCAGCTCAAAGATTTGTGTATTGTCTTGCAGTTGTATCATTGTAATAGGTGTAATAGCTGTTTTTGAGGAACTGATTATTTGTTTTCTTTATAATCTCTGCCAAGAAGTTGGCATTTTAGGAATCTGTCTAAATAAACATAGAATAAACCCACTGTATGCACTACTCAGAGTGGAGTTAGCTTAAAATGTGAGTGTTCACCTTGAAATTTAACATGCAGGTATGCAACTAGAATACAAAATTAAATCTGTATTAGCTGGAATGAAAATGTTGTAAAAGCAAGATCAGTGTGTGGTAAAGTGACAGCTTGTTCTGTGCAACTGTTTCAGTCATCTGATACCCTTTATAAATCACAGAGGTATAAACAAGCTAATTATAGCACTGCTATAGTAAAGTGTTTGTCATAAACTTTATTAACCCACTCCTACTTCAGTTGTGTTCTATTGGATGAGATCTTGTTCATTGTTTGAATCCTTAACAGTGTTCATTTATCACTTGTATGAATCCACCCAGCTGCTGGTCAGCTGTGGAAATACACATAGGTTTCCCTCTGAAATGTGGAAGGGACTTAATTTGCATCTATTTTGTTCTTCTTGGCCTTTTTTGTTTAAATTCCTTAGTTGTCTGTAAGATTGGCTGAGTTGTCTCCATTCATTGTATAGCTGCAAATATTTACTAAAAGCCTCCTCCTTCAGCTCTTCTAAATCGCTTGGATGCTCTGCTGCCAGCTTCTGCCCTGAGATTCTGTAACATGGCACAGGCATCCCCCTGAAAAGGCAATCCCTCTGCAACCATGCATTCTGAGAGTGGTTCAATGTCTGTTATTACGGAATTGCTGTAAGAAATCCTGGCTAAGAGGACAGATTTTTCTGGTGAATACCATCCTGTTAGCTGTGGAGAGCCTTCATGAGGACAAGGCCTGCAGTTTTTTAGAAACTAAGGAACACCTAAATGTGTGTAAGGCCCACAGGTGAGCAGTGCCATAAAGATGGTAAATGCATCTTATTTATTAACCTCAAGATCCAGAGATTTTTTTATACTGGTTTTAATGTGCCAGTTAATTAAGCCTAGTGCCTGCATCTTCTGGATCAACAGCACTTTCTTCATGTAGCTGAGATAATGGAGCAGTGAATCCTTTGCCTCTCTAGGTCACAAAGAAATAATGAAAACTAATGCAGGGAGGACATTGCTGCTGTAGCACAACCTAGAGTTCAGAATATTTATTTTTTGTATTTTATTTAACCTAGTGTAAGAATTGTGAGACTGACTTCCAGATCAATAGAATGTATGTTCTGCATTTAAACAACAGCTTCAGCTTAGGTGTCCTCCTTTAGTCTGGTTATGCATGGTGAGTACCTTCAACTTCCAGCCAGGCAGGGGTGGCTCAAGTGATCTTCAGAAATAGCTTGAACTTCTGCCTGCTTGGGGAAAAAAGTTACCAAACACCACTTTTCACAAGAAAGGGAAAGGAAAAGATCAGGATATGTTGAAAAATGCAAATGAATTTAAATAAATTTAGAGCTTCAGAGGAAGAAACCTTTGAATTGTAATTTTTTTCTCTCCTTAACTCATCAGCACAATGTTTTGAAGTTTTTTGGCCATTGCAATGATATTGATCGTGAGATGAGGAAATGCTTAAAAAAAGAGGTAAGCAATAAATTATATATATTTTGAGTTAAATACTTAATAAAAAATGGGAGAGAACTAGAGTTGCTTTTTACTAAGTAGTATGAATCAATACATGTAAGCATGTTCTGCTGTGGGCACTTGAGACCAAATCCAAACTTTAAAAAATAAATTAGTCAAGTAAAATCTGGCATTAACAAATGGCATGGTGTATTTTTTGATATACAAAAATAGGCAAACACATTTTAATGAAACAAATATTGCAGATAGGAACTGACACTTCACAGATTGCTTCTGACTTTTTTCTTAATTTTTTTTAGTAGTGGTATTTGCACAGAATTTAATATAAAGCAGTAATGGTCATCTCTGTAAAAATAACACTTAAAGCTGAAGTCAGTTACACTGAAATGACTTAATGAGTTGCTGAGTTAGGCCCTAAATGAAAATATCTGCAGATATGAAGGAATGAAGACAGAGTTTAAGTGGATTAACTGTTTTAATAGGCACATTTTCAGAAGAGTTTTCTTTACATTTATGGTGGTTTTGCCTGCATGACAGAACATATAAATGAACATTTTGCATACCTTTTAACTTTAAACTGTACTTTCTAATTTTTACATAAATTTCACCATACTAAAAAGTTTCCTTCCACATAATCTCATTATTTTTATTTTCCTTCCACTGAAGCCTTTACATTAAAGGAGTTCTTGATGATTACATTTGTCTGCTTTCTTAAAATGTGCTTATATTGATATGCCATTACTAGGAAGCCCCTGAAAGTTGTTCACAAATATTGAGTAGGTATAGATGTAGCTTTTAAAGATACATTGTTCTCATTCTAAAAAAAAACATGGATGGGTTATTGAAAAATTAAATATTGGCAAGGGAAACAGTTAAGCTTTCTGTAAATCTTAAATAATGTTTTGGGACATTATTTCAGTTACAGACCAATCAGTATAATGGGTGAAAAACTTCAAATCCTTTTCAAAATCAATTTCTTTAGCAGTTTATTACATTATATGGAGAATTGAATATTTGTGGCTTACTTGGGTTTTATTCTTGATACCAATTATTGAAATATTGAACAAATATATGCTCTAACCTAAGGACAAAAATGATTTTATTCTCATGAAATACATATAAAATGATGCATTGATTTTTAATTTTCCATTTGTTTGAGCCATTAAAATGTTTCCTTTTTGTTTGCAATGAAAGGCTCTTCAAGCTTCTGCTAGTGCAGGGGCGTACTAGAAAGCGTGGTGGTCTTGTACATGTATCTTACCTGTGAAGGTTTTCTTGATTCCATTTTACACTGGAGTCCTGCCTCTGTTGTGGTTCTTGTTTAAACCAGTAAAAATCCTTACATGCCTTACCCTCATTCAATCCAGATTTGCCTTTGTTCCTTTCATCTTGGTATCCTGCTTTATCTGTGCGTATAATTAATGTCCAAGATCAAAAATAGACCAAGCCTGTGATGACAAATTCATGTTTCAGAAGGCAGATGCACATTAATCAGTGTCTTGCAAAAGGAAAAGAGCCTGACCTGTGCTCTAGAATAGCACCAGTGCAACTTTTTTTCCTAGTTCATGTGTGAAGTGTAGCTGTCGTATGTTAGATCACTGTCTAATTAAGTTCCTCCTTAAGATTAACTGAATATTCTTTATTAGAATGTTCTAATAATCTTTAGCTTAATAACCTCAGACTTAAAGACCTGTATTTTAATGGAATTAATGTTAATTTCAAAGTTGAAATGTTAATTTCAAAGTAAAAATGAACCTATATCTAGGTATTAACAAGAGCTGTATTTCTAATGTGTCAGTCAAACATGTTGTTTCTGCTTCTGGGTAAAAATGCTTCTACAGTTTTAAATTTGACATATCTGTTTAATGGTAACAGCTGACCTATTAATTTCCTTATCTATCTTGCAGTTTGAAGAAAACAGGCGCAGAAACCGGGAGAAACGACAGAGGATAATAAATGCTCACAAAGCCTCAGAGAAGTGAGCTGTGCTGTGGCTGGACAGCTGCAGCTCCACAGGGATACTCACTTGCAAGCTGACAGAATACTTGTGTTTCATCACCAGTGCCCAACCTGTGGTTTGTGAAATGGTGACAAAATAAATGCATCTAATATGTATTCATTCCCAACAAGGCAAACAATGTGAAAAAATAAATACCATACATTGCTCACAACCTAACTTAATTTTTGACCTCTAAAAGAAAACTATGGTGGCAAGTCTGTTCTGGCATTTTTATGATTGTTAAGTAATGAGGAATTGGTGTGTGTGAGGTACTATGTGTTCAGGGCAGCTGTGTTCCCCACTCTGTACTGAGTCACATTTATTTCCTTGTGTTTAGAAGTTTCTCTTTCATATCATGGGTTTTGTAGGTTTTTTTTGGTTTGTTTTTCATTGCAGAACACTAAATTACTTTTTCCATCACTTTTTGTACTGTAATTATAACACTTCTTAAATGGATTAGGAAAAAGAAATTTTAAACAGATGTGGCTTGAAATTGGAAATTGCCTATCAAGGAATAATTGGAGTTCTGGTATTTTTATTGGAGCTAAAAGGATGAAGCTACTGTCTTCAGCTGAGAAGATTACAAATCCTCACTGCCAACCATATGTACTGTGTAGACTGTTGTAAGACAATTTGTTCATCATACCTAAAACAAGCGGCTTTAGAAATTCACAATGGAACATTTCCAGAGATTTGCAAAGCTTCCCCTTGATTTTTGTTGAGTACAATCAGTGTGTGCTGAGTGATTTTTCAAGAGGAGTGCTGCCAGAAATGTAAGCTGAAGTTCTTCCATTTTCTCTGGTACAAAAGTAAAGTCACATTATGACTATTGAGGTTGAAGCACAGCTGACACTGAAGAAATATGTAACTTTCTCAGGCAAGTCAATGTGTATTGTGTAACCAAGTTGCCTTGTTAGCCTATAAAAGGTGTTTATTTTCCATCAAACTGCTGAAAGCCCAGATCAAGTCTTAAGAATCCAGAAGATTTTATATCAAAACATACACTGGTTTGTCCACTGATGGAGTTGCTTCTCTGTGTGTGCTGGATTCGCCTTACTTTTAAATAATGACTCTGTTCTGCCTACCAGCAAAATACTTTTTAAAAACTATAAATATTGTTGAGCCAAATATACAAAGTATCTAGAAGGTGCCTATTCTACAGTGAATTACATGTTGTTGTAAGAATCATTGTTGATACTCAATCTTGAAATTGGTATGTACCCTTGTTTTTGGAAGAAAATGGTATTTTGTGAGCTGTTTTGAAGGGTGATTTAAAATAATTTTTGTTATTTTTCAATACCTGGATGGACCCAATTAAATAGTTAAAATTAAACCAGAAATGTTTTCAGTGAAAGCTCCAAGCAAAGCTGAAGCAATTGTTTCTGCATTTTGACATGCTGTTTGTTTCTTAGAACAAGTAAATGATGCACTGTTTGAATTAATACTTGAATGGTTGGAAATGGTGCAGCCTTTATTGGTACTTTTCAGAGTATTTTGAAAGAGTACTTTGTAGTGAACTCCCCTGTCTGGGAACTCTGCATCCATGATACTTCCTCCATTTGAGATGAGACAACCTACTTCAGGCAAGCTCCTAAGTAGGATATATAGCCTTTAAGTAAATAAATTGAGAATTGTTCCAGAGATTAGGTTGAGAAGCTGATATCTTGAGTGTAGAAGCACTGAAGCTTTTGTTTCTTTAATCAGCTTCTGTGAGTCCCAATCTTTCACAAAGCAACAAAAAAGAAACCAAGAGCCACTTACCACAGCTCATTAGTCAGAATCATGTTTGCAAAGATCAATGTGCTTAGTGAATGAAAGACCAAATGGCCCACACAATTCCTATTGATACTTTTAACTAGATTTATTTATAAATCTATTTTACAGATCAGCTTTGTTTACCTAGTGAAAGTCTGATCATGGTCTTCCTTCTGTTTCTCTTTGCTAATTGCCCACTAGTAGTGTGATATGAGAGTGCCCATTGATGCCTGTGGGTTTTGTTCCTTTTGTTTGATACAGAGTTCATGTTGCTAATTTGATCTTGAAGCTGGAAAACACTGGTGTAAAAATACTGGTGATTTATCTGACAGAGAAAGAGGTAAGGGTGAAATACTAGACGCAGATTTTTTTTCTTGTTTTCTAAAGTGAGCTTGGGTGAAATAAACCTTTTCTCTATAGGCTTTAAAGACAGTTCATTGCAATGTCATTTGTCCATAGGAAAATTTTGCCCATTGTTTTTTCTGACAGTGTGCATTTGAGAGAGAAATTCCATGTAATTTGTGATGAATTGCATGTGAGAAGTTCATGTGTGTTTCATGTCAGAAAGTGAAGAAGAGGGAAATGGGGCAAATGGCAGCTCTGGCCATAATGGTGAGGGTTTTGCATATTGAAGTGCCATAAAAATCTCAGATACATGGACAGGAGGAGGACAGAGCAAAGGGAATTACTACTGTCCAGCCAAATCCCTCCAATTTTACCAGAAACACCTGGTAACACTATTCATACTGTACTTTCCCTTGCTGGAAAACTAAATGACATTATGTTTTCCTTAATTTTTTTTTTAATTTATTTTTTAGTAGAAGTAAAAATACTCTGTTGACTAGCAGCAGCATAGTGTAAGAACAGCGGGGTGAGTTCTTGCTCTGGTGTTAATTTCTTTATACAACAGGGCTTGTCTCCTGTTAAGCTGCAGTGCTGTTAATATATTATGAATATATAATACTTGTCTTTCCCTGTAAACTTTAGTTGGTAACATCCTCAAGGAATTATGTCGTTTGTTGCTGATACAGATGATGCGCAGTGTCTAGACCTTGAAGCAAAGCCTTGATTTAGTTGAGCTGACTGTACTATTTGGGAGAGGACGAGTCCTATGAATTAGTTATTCCCTCTGTTACTGGAAATCTATGTAATAATATGTAATGCATATTTCCAATGTGTTATGCACTTTGCTGAAGCTCTACGCCTCATGTATAAAGTATATTCAACAGACATGCATTTCTGAATTTGGCACTGCCCATGCTTTCAAAATTTCATGACATCCAATACAATTTTTTTCTGATATAAATTAAAACACACTTCTGTGGAATACCTAACGACATTTGAACAACTGGAAAACTGATACCAGATTCTGACAGTTGAGTTAAAAATTAATTATTAACATTAGTGCTTAAGCAAAGGAGATTCTGTGCCTGGATGGCATAGTGGATTTTAGTGGTGCAGCTTATGATACACATTGAGTTTTATTAACATGGACTAGAATGGAGTATCAGCAAATCTTAGTGGTCCCATTAGAGTGTTTATTTTATAGGCTCAGTGATAACCATGCTGCTCATCAACAGAACCTGCCTTGCAGTACAAGGTATACTAATAAACTTGAAGGTGAATAGTAGATTCACATCATGTTCGCCAAACCTACTTAAATTGGTGTGTAGCAAAAAATATATCAACGAGAACAAAATATATATTTAGCTTGAAAATGGTTCTTGTGGACCATCATGCTTTAAAATTATTATTTTGAACTATTTGGTGACATTTTAAAGGCTGGGAACTTTCATGTGGAGCTATTGCTTTAACCAGTGAGACTTTTATTGGTATTTTAATGTAGACCCTTAGATAAAACAAGATATATTTCAAAGATGTAAGTGAACAGAAAAATCTTCTGGGACAGTAATTACCTGGAAGGATGTTACTGATGGCTTGGCAGAACTCATTGCCAGTACAGACGTCAGCCATCCAGAACCCGGAGATTTGTTTCAGCTTGGCAAAAGCATCAAATGCCTTGAAGAGTATGGGTATGTGTGGCTAAGTTACAGGAACGCTGATACGACCATGTCATCCCCAACACTGAGGTGCTGAGAGCAAAGGACGTGTTATGTTCACATGACATTAGCGGTCTAATTTTTACAAAAACCTTTGGATTGGAGACTATCCATGACCTTTGCTGCCAGCAGCCCGACGCTTGAGTTGTTCGACTTGAAGTAAATCTGATTTTCCCTCCAGCCCCGGGCTGAGGCGGCTGCTCCCCGCGCTGGCATCACCGCGCTCCTGATGCCAGCGGTGACTGCGGCTCCGTCCCGGCAGTGCCACTGGGAAACCCTTCCTTACAGACTGCCAGGAGGAACATTGGGAATGTTTTGCTGAACTGCCCGCTGTCAGCCGACAGACACCGGACGTGATCGTGCTCAGACCGGGGCGGCGGCCGGTTCGGAGCCGCACAGGGCGGCCTGCGCTGCCTCCGGGGCCAGCCGTCAGCGCTTGGCGCTGCGGGATCACCGCGATCGGCGGCGCCGTCTCCGCTCGCCGCCTGGCAGCTGGGAACATCGCCAGGCTCGGCGGCCACTACCCGGCATCCCGTATCCCGTTCTCCATCCCGCATCCCGTTCACCATCCCGTATCCCATTCCCGTATCCCGTTTTCCATCCCGTATCCCGTTCTCCATCTCGCATCCCGTTCTCCATCCCGTATCCCATTCCCGTATCCGGTTCTCCATCCCGTATCCCGTTCTCCATCCCGCATCCCGGTCCGCACCCCGCGCTGCGGGGCTCGGCAGCGCCGCCCAGCGGCCGCCCCGCCCCGCGGGAGGCGCGGCCTTCCCGCCGCGCGGGCGGGGCTCCCTCAGGCCGCGCCGCCATGTTGGCGGGGCTCTGGGTGCTGCTTTTGCCGCAGCCTTGCGGTGCTGAGGTGTCGGTGTGTGCCCAGGTGCTCGTGCTGTGTTGAGGAATGGCCTCAGCTCCTGTAAGAACCTGGATTCTCTGCAGGCCAACCGCAGTGTCTGCCTCAGGTGAAACAACATCCACACTTCCCTCATGGGCCTAAAGTTGTCACATCTGGCCCCCGTGCTCTGGCATACTCTGGGGATGCTGTTGATTGCTCGTTGATGCTGAATTCTTTGTACAATCCTGCTTCTGTTTATCACCCAGTTCTTTTATTTATTTAAGTCAAGTCCATGTTGTGCTCTGAACAGCACTGTTGAAATTAGTAAACATGGTTGGCCTTTGGTATGTCCAGCACTGAGCAAGGCTCTGTGTAGGGTCCCATGTGTTGCCACAAAACACAGCGGGGACAGTACCAAAAAGTCGTCCCTATGGTGTTTGGTAGGATTAGAAGACCACACCTCACTCTCTTCGACCTCGTTTCAGCTATAAGAGATACTTTAGAAGCACCTGTGTTGTGCCTTAATGCAGGCATTCCTGTTTTCCAAAGTTCAGCAGGATGCTGGAACTGGCTAATGCACCTGGCTTTGAAAACAGCCAGGAATAAAAGATCATCCTCAAAGACAACTGGCATGGATGAAGTTTTGATTTATTAGTGATTCATTTTGTGTAGCATAATAGTTGGTTTGTCACTTGCTTTGGGTATTCTGTAATATTGTAATTATTTATCCAGTGGCACCTTAGACCATGCATGCACTGCACAAAACAATCCATCTCAGCTGTCTCTGGTAATTTAAACCTGCAGCTTTTAATTCTTAACTTTCCTTTAGCTTTCAGAGCTTTCAGAGCTACATATTTGTGTGGCTTATTTAGCTGTGTTTTGGTTTGGTTCATATTCTAACATTCCTGGTAATGAATATATAAAGTACTTTGTGTCTAAGTGGCATTAGTTAGACAGCTGTGGTTGCAAACAGCCCACATAATCATATTAAATCAATATTAAATGTGTGCTGCTGAATAGTTGTCTTTGGGATGCTGATGGTCCCAATTTAATTTAAACTTCATCCCACTAGTGCTCCAAAAAAACCTCAGAGGAAAACAAATCAAAAATCAAATCCCCAAATGAGTAACTCCGAATGGAATAACAGATCTTTCATAATTGGTCCACAGTGGATTCATTTAGGTGGATATACACAAGTGTGTGGTGTGTGGCAGCAAACAGTCCAAAACCTGTTGGCTGTTCGCTGCAAGAGAGGGAAAAATGGTGAAGAATAATGGGTGTCAAGATACTTTTTGTTTGTTTGTTTGTTTTTTGTGATAAGAGAGTTTATTTGAACTAGGAAAATAGAAAAGACTCATTTGAGTTATGGTGTTTCATGTGAGGAAAATATATAAATACTAGAAGTTTCTTCAGAAAACCAGTTTGTCCTCAGTGTGATGCAGCTGTGCTGCTGTTGGTTCTGTTTGCAGGATGACCAAGAATAGATGGTGAGGGCTGAAGAGGGGCAGCAACAAGGAAACTTGACACTTTCCTCTGGAGCTGTTTGGTATTCAAAATGGAGACTCTTAAATCATCTGGTGATAACAAGAGCTAGACATTCTCCCTTGGATTTTTTTTTGTGCTGAGCTTGTGTTCATGGCTTCTGTTTCTGCTTGGGGCTGTGTTCAAGGTGAGGGAAAAAATGATTTAGTTGATCTAAGTCTCCTGGTTGGGAAA